CACACACACACACACACACACACACAACACACACACACACACACACACACTCCCCCACCAATCAATCAATCAATCAATCAATCAATCAATCAATCAATCAATCAATCAATCAATCAATCGAAAAAAAAAAGTTTGAATAAAGAAATAAAGAAATCAGTTAATCAATCAATCAATCAATCAATCAATCAATCAATCAATCGCGCGGGGGGAGACCCCTCCCCCACCAGTCAATCAATCAATCAGTCAATCAATCAATCAATCAATCAATCAATCAATCAATCAATTTCAATTTCGTTCGATTTCACCCATACCCCCCCATCCAAAAGTTGATCTTTTTCGGTTTTTTTTTGTGTGGTGGGGTGGGGCCGGGGATGCGACGCCACGTGGCGTCTCTAGATTTCCGAAAGTGTCTCCCTCGCGGCCACCACATGGCTCCAAAGCCGCGCGTCTGCGCAGCCGCGTCCGCGGGGTCAGCGAACTGGCCACGTCCGCGGGGTCAGCGGACTGGCTGCGTCCGCGGGGTCAGCGGACTGGCCGCGTCCGCGGATTCGGCTGCGGATGACCGCCGCCAAGGGGGATTCATAGTGGGCGGGTGGTTTGGGGCCGGGGGAACCGATTGAACGGGAGAGGGGGTGACAGGGTGGTTTGGGTGGTTTTTGTTCTGGCTGACTTTGGGGTGTGGGGGAGGGGCGGTGGCGCCGGGGGTGGCGGGGGGGGTTCGGGTAGTTCGGGACGGCGAGGGTGTTGGTCCCTCAACGTCCAGGGTTGTGGGGTGTGTTTGGCACTGTTTGCTGATGTGCAGGATGCGGAGTGGTGGGGGCTTGCAGTGGGGTTCCGGGGTTCAGTGAGACACGGGGTGTTTCGGCGGTGTCGCGCAGCCTGGCTGGGCGGGGAGGCTGGCTAACCCGCACGGCGGTGCGCATGGTCGGGCCGGGAGGACGACGGAGGCCGTGGAGCGGGTTTTTTTTTTTCAACCTTCAGCGCTCATGGCGCGCACAACGACATGCCCGCTGCCGCGACCGCGGCCTCCGTTGTTCGGTTCCCCTGTGGAACTGGCATGCCGTTCAACGTGGATTCAACGGGTATTCAATGGCCTCCGTTGTTCGGTTCCCTTGTCGATTCAACGGCCTCCGTTGTTCGGTTCCCCTGTGGAACGGACTTTCACAGCCGTTCAACGGGTTCAACGGGGTTTCAACGGAGGGTCCGGCCTGTACTGGCCTTTTTTTTTGTGCACGCTGCCGGGGCCGCAGGCCCGGCCGCTGCTGCGCAGGGTCCGTTGAACAGTGTTCAACGGGGAGGCCCCGTTGTAATGTTCAACGGGGTTTCAACAGGGGCCTCGGGGCTATTCAACGGGTACAATGGCGTTGAAGAAATCCCGTTGCCCATTGAATGGACACATAGTCTCCAATTAAAAAAAAAAAAAAAAAAAAAAAAAGGCTCATCACATAATGACTGGATATCGCCATCCTTTTCTTTCAAATAATTTCTGATTTGTGATTCATTTTTTTTTAATTTTTTATGCACTGTTCCAGTCACCAGAGGAGGAGAGTGAGAGGAACCTTCCCTATGAAGAACAGTAGGCTGCATACAACTTGACCACGTTCTTAGTACCTAGGACAGGACAAACAGGGGTTTTTCAACGACGTGACACGGTGGCCGTGGGATTTTCTGATGGGATGGCAGGGAGCCCTGAATACTTGAAAAGAGGGGCATGGCCCCAGGAGAGATTGCTTGGGAAAAAAGAAAAGAGGTGAAATTCGCTACCTCCTCCTGACACTACAGACAGGATCAATTACTGGAAAAAAAAAAAAAAAAAAAAAAAAAAAAGAAGTGAAAACGTGAAGCTGGCTACCTCTTAACCACTGCTGTACCCCTGTTCACCGTTCACGGCCACGGTGAACATGGGCCGGCCTCACGGAGTTCACGCAGAGCGCGAACTCCGTTTTTTTTTGTTTTGCCTGGAAGGGGGTTCTTTTTTCTGCACACGTGTGTGGTTTGTGTCAACGGGCACCTGCCCATATTTTTTATATTTTTTTTCGATCAGAATTTATTTTTCTTAAAATTTTGAAAAACAATTAAAAAAATGGATTTCGCCTGTGTTAGGCGTAGCATTCGTTTGCCCTGTGGGGCATTGTGAGGGTGTTTTGGAACTTTTGGGCCCTATATAATTAGAAAAAATTGATGACACTATGCTGCGCCATACCACAAAAAAAAAAAAAAAAAAAAAAAAAAAAAATCCGTTGGGCCTTGTTTTGCTGGAGGCAGGTTCAACTTGGCCCTTCACCAGGACGGAGATCCCACTACCGATGTATGTGGAGTAGCGGATAGGGTGTGTGACCCTTCAGCGCCGTTGATGAGAACGGTGATCAGTGGTGTTGTTTTTCTTGGTTTCGGCGTGGGGAAACATATGACTTTTGGGGGGCTCCCATTGGGTGGCATTTCTTTTGCTTTTGTTGTGGTGCTCCTCTGGGGGTCGTGAACGTGCGTGAAAATCATACCAACTTTTTTTGGTTAAATTTTCACACACCTTCTACTTACGTTTGCGTCATTGCCCATGCGTTCAAAGGAGGCCGAAAATGAAGATGTTCCCCTTTTCCCATCATGAAGGGATGACAGTTGATGTCAGAGTCTTCCACAACTTGTCTGTCATTCCAAGCCTCTCGTTGGAGACACATCTAGATGTGTATAAGAGGGTAGTTCGGGACGGCGAGGGTGTTGGTCCCTCAACGTCCAGGGTTGTGGGGTGTGTTTGGTGCGGTAGGGGCTGCAGAGTGGTGGGGGCTTGCAGTGGGGTTCCGGGGTT